CATCCTTCTCTTTCGTCCCTCTCCACTACTTGTTTCTTTGCTGTGAATACAGAACTACTTCACTTTTGAGTATCTTTATCACACACAACCTGTTTCCACATTAAGTGACCTTGTCACAAACTCAAATATCAACTGACTCTGCAAAGAAGTCGAATCTTTTCCTCCTGAGCTAAACTGTCAAACAAGCATGAAGATGTTCCTCTGGTCTGCACCTTGTACTGGGGAACTCCAAATTGTAAACATTTGCCAAGTTCTCAGTGGTATCCCTGAAATCCTTTTAAAAGGAACCTTTCTCCTTAAAAGGAAGCAGGCAAAAGGTTATCAGAAAAGCAGTGAAAACCCATGCTAACATGGCAATTATATCTTCTTTAAAAACCATGGCCAACAGAAGCATGTATTTATTATTGTAAACCTCTAGCTTTTTGTGGGGCTGCACCTCGTGTGGTAGGACCTGGGTACCAGACTGGAACTACTGTAACAGAACTTATTAGAACAAAAGAAATCAATTCACATCACATCTTCTTGCAGAACAACCAGCCCCAACTACACATCCTGCAGTTAAATGCAGGATTATTAATACTTAAAACTGTTTTCTGAAGGACAATCACAGGGGTTCTATGAATTTTAAATTCAGAATCCTAAGTAACCCGTCTTGAGAATGGCCATTCTATCCCATCTGCGAAACAGACAGTTTAAACCATATTTACAATGGACTAAGATGTCTGCTAGAACAAACCTACATTTTTCATTTTTGAATTTACCTTTTGCCCTTCCTATATTTTATTATCACTATTCTATTTTAGGTGTACATCTTTTTCTGCCTTATTGCTTTTCAGGGTTGTTGTGGTTTTTTTTTGTTTGTTTGTTGGGCAATACTTTTTTTAAAAAATAACTAATTTTCCCTGAAAAAATTTGCCTATTCCTTTTTACTCTTCTCCTTGGCTCTCCTCTGCATGCCACTTTATCCTGCTAATCTTCCCATGATGAGTTACTCTTGCATTACTATAGGTAAGCTGGTAGTGTTATCGGCACAACTGTACTCAGTGTCTAGCAGAGTGGGACATTCTCACTGCTCACACTACCTTATGTGATGGCTTCCTGCACCATTAGTCTTCAGATCATCATTATTCTACTTCAACAGTTGGAAAAGAAGTTGTGTCATCATGTGAGGGACAAAATCCCAGTCCAAAAGGGTATAGAAGAGGGCTGTGAAGCCACACCGTGCAAGGCAGGTCTACATATTGTTTTGACTGTGAAAGCAGGATGACTTCAACCTGTTTACACTTTCCTCATAATGAACATACATCTGCAGGAAATTTCTGAAGAACTTACACTGACATTTGACAGAAAACTTCTGAAAGTTATGTTGTTTCAGAGAAAGGGAGGGAAGAACATAAGAGACTCTCAGACATTCCTTAACCTAAAGGAGGCTCTCTCCTTACCTTGAGCGAGCTCTGCCTGGACAGTGAGCTCTTCCTGACTTGCAGATTCTCCAGCACCTGCTGAAGTTCCTCTACTCTCTTCTGTCCTCTCCTCACTGGTCTTTTCAGCCTCCTTTTCTGGTCTCTTCTTCTCACTCTCTGGTTTGACCTCTTTTTTGACTGGCCGGATGTTGCCAGGAGAAGGAGGACGTGCCTGAGCAGAGGAAACTTTGGAGGAACCAGGTGGGGAAGTTATCTGCTTGGGTGTGCCAGGCAAATAAGGCAAAGACTTTGACGCATGCCTGTGTAACCGAAGAGTGACAATCACTATCAGACATGCTCTGCTGGACACCACCTACATATCACTGCTACAACTACAATAGCTAAAAATAAAACAAGTTCTCTATTTCTCTGCTACCGAGCAGGACTGCTGGAGCAACTGATTCGCTTTCATGCAAAATGCTTCTCTGCAACTCTTCACAGGTGTAAGCACTGAGCCCAGCAAAGAGGAAAGAAATGAGGTATCCTTTTCCTCCTTCCCCTTCCTCAAAGCAGCAGTAATATTTTTCTAAAAGCAGGACTGTCTTTCCTTTTTTACAGAGAGAAAACATCTATATCATCAAATAAGCGTTCTGGTTTTGACTGGGACAGAGTTAGTTTCTCTTTTGAGCAGCCAGAAGAGCTCTGGGTTTTGTTTTCAGTTGGGATTTGTTATGAGAAGAATGTTGATAGTGCACTGATGTTTGTAGCTGGCACTGAGATATCAAGGACCTTTCAGCTTCCCACGTTCTTGCCAGTGTGCAGGAGCACAACAGGCTGGGGGGGAGCATGGCTGGGACAGAGGGCCCACAATTCCCCTTATGATTTGAACTTAGGCTTAGGACTGAGGGCCACATTGGCCAATAGAGTATTCCATATTGTGCAGCATCATGCCCAGTATATAGATGAGGGTTGACTGTGAAGAAGTTATCTTTCTCTTCTGAGGGTGCTAAGACTCTCAGAGTTCTCTCTCTCACTCTCTTTTGGGGCCTCTCACTCATCCAGGATTGCAGTGTCAGGACTTGACTGTTTTGGGATCATTTGCCAGGACAGGACAGGAGTCGGTCACCAGGTGGTGAGCAACTATACTATGCATCACTTGTTTGTATATATTATTTCCACTATATATATTTTCATATATAACTATTATATCATTATTATATTTGATTTTTAAATTATTATTATTATTAAATTGTTCTTATCTCAACCCACAAGTCTCCTTCCCTTTTCCCCTTTAGTTCTCCTCTCCATCCCCAGGGGTGGGGGAGAGTGAGTGGCTTTGAGGCGTTTAGTTGCCAGCCAGGTTAAACCAGGACAATAAATTTGCACTGTTTTACATTTAATTAACAGAACAATCAGAGCTGCCCATAGCTCAACCTCCAGCTAAGCATGTATTTGGCTTACCAAACTGGAGAGGGAGCTGGTGATCTAGCTTTGAGGTTGGAAGAAAAATGTCCTCCTTTAAAGCTGGCTGAGAAGCTGGATGACAAATGGTCTCTCTCCTTTTCTTTTTTGTCAGCCTATAGTTCAACAAACAAAAGGATAAAGTCAAGCCAACGTTCACACGGCTGAAAAAAGCAAAGCAAGCTCAGTTAGGGAGGGAAGGTTGGGGGGCTGAGAAAAAGCAGTGCTGAGTCAGTAGTTTCTACAGCCTGTTTAACAAGTTCATTAATAGAGCCCCTGGAATCTGACACCATCTTTGTCAGCAAACATGCATTTGACAACAAGAATCCTTCTTAATCATGTCCTAAGATGTAATGGACTAATTTGCAGAGGCTTCTTTTTACACAGGCAAAAAATTACCTTTTACGGTTTGATTTTTGCTAATTACCACAGAGTACCTTCCACTGCTCCCCATAAAGCCACGATTTCATCTGAAGAAGCAAAACACTTCCCCCACCACTCCCTTAGGCTCACACTTAGTCACAGTCCCAGTATAGCATCAGCTTTTTGCTTTCATGCTTATATGGGAACACCACAGACACCTTCGAAGCCCTCAAATGTGGTAGAACAGTTATCCTATTCTTTTTTTCTGGGATGATTTCACAGCACATACTTTTTTGCCATTGATTCTTATACATGGTAGTAATTTCCCCCTTTTCCTCCTTTTTTTGGTCATCTTAAGATTTTTAAATTTAAGATTTGTCATCTTTAAGATTTTTAAAAATATTTCTGTTATAGCTCTGGTTTGTATTAATAGAACTATTTGTTTAAAGGAATATATAGAATCATAGAATCATAGAATGGTTAGGGCTGGAAGGGACCTTCAAAGGTCATCTAGTCCAACCACCCTGCAAGGAACAGGGATATCTCCAACTAGATCAGGTTGCTCAGGGCCTCGTCCAACCTGGCCTTGAACGTCTCCAGGGATGGAGCATCCACCACCTCTCTGGGCAACCTGTTCCAGTGTTCTACAACTCTCATGGTAAAAAATTTTTTCCTAATATCCAACCTGAATCTACCTCCCTCTATTTTAAAACCATTACCCCTTGTCCTATCAAATTTAGGCATCTATATACTTCCTCCTTTTGACTTCAGATTAAAAACTTCAGGTTTTGGGAATTATGAGCTCAGACTCTGGGAGTCTGAAGAATGGGAATACTGGAGAGTACTCTGAGCTGCCACCCAGCCAGATGGTGCAGAGAGGCTGCTACTCACCACCTTGGCTGGGGTTTAAGCACAACCCCTGCAGCATGCGCACCACGCTGCTTTAGAAGTTCACTAGCTAAGAGCTCTGCAATGCTCATCTGCTGAACTGAAAACAGGGTAACAACCGGAAAAGAAAGACTGAAAGCAATTTAATGAGCACATGAACCCTTGGTTTATCTTCACAAATCCAAGAGGGTTTTTTTTGGTCTTTACGATTAAAATATGATTTCAACCTGGTGTAGTGGAGGATTTCTCTGCCCATGGCAGAGGGGTTGGAACTAGATGATCTTTAAGGGCCCTTCCAACCCTAACCATTCTATGATTCTATGATTCTAAAATGAGTTATTTTAAATTGCCAAAAACATAACTTAATATTAGCAATAGATGGTCTTGATCCTGAATTCATTACTCAAGCCAGCTCTCTGGCAGTATAATTTACCAGATATCTACTGATTAATATGATAATCACCTGAGTTATCAAAGCATACACTCCCAGAATAAATGCATTACAATGAACAAGAATTTTGGCTTGCTAGCAATAACTCTCTATATTGGATCTACATTATTAGTCTTAAAAACAGAGCCTCAGAAAAGTTTTCTTAATATCAATAAAGTAAAAAACTGAACTTCTACAAAAGTCTGTGGAGGAATAAAAGTCTCCACACCATATAGGCTACTGAAAACAGCTTTTAACTCGGTCATTTTGTATTAACAACATTTTTACATTGTTTCCTTCACCAAAATGTACCAACCTTTCTTATTTTTAATTTAAAAAACTAAAAACAAACAAACAAGAAAATAAACAAACAAACAAAACCAACACAAAAAAAACCCAACGCAAACCACTTGCAATGAGAAAGATCCAGGAGGTGTTAAACTGATAGCCCTGTAGACTGCAACGCGCTGCGCACATGCCATGAGACTTCTCTACAGATACATCCCAACGCTGTGCCTTAACTTAAACTTCAATGTGCCACCATCTGCCTGAAAAACTGAGTACTGGATATGATTCATGCAATTTTCTTTAGTACTGCTTCCAACACGGATGTCAACAGCAGCACTGCCTCTTGACGTTTTGCCCATCAGGTCAAAAGAAAACGCAAGCGCCTCTTACACGATCATTTGCAGAGATGACTTCACTCTTCTCACACTCTAAAACTCAGGCTGTAGAGTACAAGGGAAAACATAACTGCTCAGGTTCAGCAAATGACATCCGCACTGGGGCTGACTGCATCCCACTGGATGGAGCACAGTCAACACGAGTTCGGTCTGCCTGTGTCACGCTGTTCTGATCTTCCCTGAAAGCTCCGAGCGGGCACAGTACTGCTATCAAACCATTCAGAAGGAAGAGGTGACCTGTGGGGAGCCCCACTCACAAGCCACGCTCCTAAACCGAGCTCTTCCTTCTCAACGAGGAAAAGTTTACCAGCCTGGTCTCCTAAGAAGGCAAAGCTGAAGTGACAGTGCTCCGTGTGCTTACGTAGACATGTGGGAGGGCATGCCTTCGCCCCTCTTTATCCCACAGGCTCCGCTGAATTTGCTAGAGGCCTCAGAAGACATGAAATTTTACAGGCTTTGCGACAACAGGTTGCTGGGAAAACAGATTCCCCACTGAGGGAAAAGCTGCAACACCAGCTCGGGCCTTCAAAGGCAGCAAAGAATCCACTTGAGAAGAGGGCACACACGCTGCGCCTGCCTCTGTGCCTCAGGAGAAGCTAAGGCATCCGCTCTGCAAACATGGGTGTTTCTCCACATGGATTCTTTGGTGCAAAATCAGGCCACGTCACCACAAAATGGAGTATATTTCAGTTAAAATCCAGCCAACTATGAAACGAAGTGGAGGGGGTGGGGACAACATGGAGCAGAGTTTCAGACTTAGTCAAGTCCTGTCCTAACAAGCCATGCAATCAGGTGGTCACGGCATGAGGCAGTAGCTTACGCCCAACTCACGTGCTTACCCCAGTGAGATGCGTTGTTCTCCTACGTCCAACAGCATCAGTAGAGGCATAAAGTTTCGCTCGGTCTCCTGGATTCCTACAGTTCATGGCCTTGTAGGACAGAGGACTGATGGGGCTGCAAGATGCTGAACGGGGACAAATGGGGATAACTACGGTGTTGGTTGGTTTTGTTATATATTAATTTTAATTACAGAGCAGCATTGGAGAATTGACAGAGGAAAGCCAGCAGGAACAGAAACAACAGAGAAAGACAGAAGAGAAAGAAGGTATTAATACACAGAGGAATGACTAATTCTCAAGTCAGAACCATCATTTGATACATTAGCTTGGCCACACATATAATAATGATAAAATTTCAACAGGCACTCATGTACTTTTCCATTTGTAAACTAGTCATTTCTTTTAAATAAATTAAAAGTATGCCACATAACCAAGTAGTAGAAAATAAGAACGTTTTTCTGGTTTTATACAACTGGTGGTTCTGAAAAAGCAGTGGACACAATGACCAGTCTGACTGGTTAGCTTAGTATATGCATTGACGTGAGTTTCAGTTACATTCAGAATAGAAAACAATCAAACTAAAATCAGAATACCTATTAATTGGTCTTGGAAGTGGAGGGAAAGAAAAGTAGACACATACACAAAGATCAAAACACATTAACAAGACAAAACAGCTTCACCTAGAAAATCAATTAAATTGCTGCCTACAATTTTTAGTAAGTGATGTGTTTTTAATAAAATCCCTCTTTTAGGAATATTTGAAGCCCATCCATTTAAGAACTTTTAATATTTCTTGATAATGCAGGAGTAACAGCTGACTCAAATACATTCTCAACAGCAAACTATCGTACACATTACAAAAAGCAGACCAACAACAACAAATCAACTTGGAAATTAATGTTTGTTTGAGTAACCAGGATGGCAGTTTTCATTGGTTTGCACAAGGACAAAGACTATTACCAAAACATCTCCTGCCAACAGCAAGTTATCAGATATATGGTGTTCTGATGTTCTAAGAGATTTGTAGCACTGCAAAACGTATCATGGGGAACTTCTTGCAGCAAAGTATTCTTGGACTTTCTCTTGATTTAACTGCAGGCGACGACTGGGGAAAACTATGTTATTACTGCAGAGTTTTATTTGTCTGCTCTTGTTTGTCTTTCCTGGTCATTTAATACAGTCTTAGCATAATTATTATGCAGCATGTTACTTGAAGGAAAGGTAGAGGTTCTGTATGGGATCTTCCCTATGCCTTTTTTTTTTTTTTAAAAAAAAAAAAAGATAATTACATCCTCAGTTTCCTTGGTAAAAAAAACCTTATATTTCTTGCCTGTAGACCCCTCTGAGCACACTTGAAAGAATGCAGTTCCACACACAGTTAATTCTTCCAGTCTTACAACAGTACAGCTGCTCTTACAGGAAGAGATCATGGACTTAACAGTACTAACGCTGCAAATTCTCCTGCGCTGAGAGATTATCGTGATGAATAAAGAGCGTCTCGTGTCACAGCAACGGCACTCATGCTTGCCTTATTGTTATAGGGATTTCTGTTTAACTAGGTATTGACTAAAAAAAAAATGTTGAGAAAGAAGAAAACAGGGGTTTGTTTGTGGTTATTTCTGGTTGAGTGTATCTAAGCCAGATAGGAGGCAGTGCCACAACGTATGTCTTGAACAGTTTATAATTTGTGCGGTTCCCACCCTCTGTGAATCAATTCTCTGGCTGCGTGCTGATTATCTGAAGTTACCACCAAGGATGACATCATAAGTATTAAAAGATAAGCAGTTCATTTTCATTTGCAATGTTGCCAAACAATGCTGTAGGAAGCCCTCCAGTGAATCCTGTACCAACAGGATTACAGCTATTCAGAGGAGCTTTTGGAGAGTTATTCAAAAAACATTTTGGTTTTGGAGAGTTATTTAAAACAAGATCCAGACATACTCTTATGCTGGATGTCCCTAATAGCTCACTTTAAATTTAAGGATACGAATCCATATTTAATTTGAGTTTGATTTTCTGCATTGCAATTTATCTCTCCAGCCAAAGGGCAGGGTAATTTTCTAGGGAATAATGACAGGCTGGGATGAGCTGAGTGCTCAGAGCACAGCTGTGAGCCATTACCACCACCTGATCATTAATCTCCAGGAAGCGTCCTGCATGAAGAGACTGCAGTTATTGCTCCTAGAGAATAATACCTGGAAAACAATGAGCAGATGGATCATTCTTTTGGGCGGTACAGTTCCAGTTAGCATAGGGAAGGCGTTTCGGGGAATTACCTCAGACTGATGACTGACAAATCAGTCATTCTTGCTATTTGCAATCTTTCTCAATATTCCACTCTGTTTAGAGTTTATTGTGCAGGGTAAACAACAGCAGTCATAAAAAAAAATCTTCACACTTGCTCCAGTAAAGCAATGACTTACAAAATTAAGACACTGCTTTCTCAACTATTCCCTAATGAAGAGCTGCATTTCCAATATCCTGGTTGGTACATGACATTAAGTATTCATTTTACAAGCTGTTGTTTGCGAAGAGTGAAAAGGAATTCTGTACTTAATTCCACTGTTTGCAGAATATCACCCACATTTTTGCTCCTACAGAGCTACCCCTGTGGAAATGTACTGCGGCCTAATTAGTTATAAGAGTTCTTAAGCAAAAGCTTCTTTAAAAGTAATCTTGGCAGATCTCTACTCCTTCTTACCTTCTACGTCCTTTAATTAGAAAAAAAATCCTGTCCATATCAGACAGGAAAGACCTGCCTGGACTTCAACATTCATCATGTGCAGCAATATACTACTGTAATGGTAAAGTCCCCAGTGCATGATCATGTCACATCCTATGATAAAAGAAGAGGCAGCTGTCACCTGCCTAAAACACATGATAAGCAAGTACACCCTGGTTGTCTTTGGAAAACAGTTTTGCCTGGGCTTTAAGTTACCACCTAGCAACGTTTCCACATTTCTGCATGTTAATTTTCCCCTCCATAAGTATATCAGAGAGCTGTTCTGAGGTTGGCAGAGAACCTTACAATTACTATAACCTCACTAAACTTGCACATTTAACTTCACACATATTAAATCCGCTGCAACCAGGGCCTATCTTTCTACAAGTCTAACTCATTCCATGTGGGAAGTGCCCTGGTAGAAACTATTCTTTGCAGCAAGCAGCTCACAGCCTTAGCAGTGGGTGTTTCGAATCAGTTCTTTACAACATCGTGCGCATTTCATTAAACAGCCATGGACACTGTGACGTTGTTGCCCAGTGGGTGTTGTGTTCATTTATTACATCGATGAAGAAGCAAAAGAGATTAAGAAGGGGGTGGTGGGAGAAAGAGGCATGTCAAACAACTGTACAAACAAGCTGGCATGCTGTCCTAGCAACATAATCATGGACATTCAAGTTCATTCTGGGATGCTACCAGACACTCACAATTAGATCAATGACTTTACAACATTCCACAGGGAATCTGGAAAAACAAGTGGGTGAGACGAGAAGCCTCTGTTCTTAGAGGTTTACCTGCATCTCCAGACAATGCAGCTGTGCTTTTACTTCGGGCCAAGAATGAGTGAGTGGGCGTCAGGAGCCTGCTAACGATGCTGCTCTCCCATGGACTGAGCTGTAGACGGCGAGCTGAACATGCACCATACAAGCAAGACGTTAGATCAAACACTTCACAGAGAACTACATGTTGCAGAAGTATCAGTATTATCTCCTCACTACTGTGAAAACCTTCACACTATCCTTCAGAGATCAAAAGCAAACAATCGTTCAGTGTTTTGCGTTTTATTCTTACTCCATTTCAGTAGAGGAATTCCTATAGGAACACACATATCTGAACATTTATTTGTGTTGCTGCCTGTGGCATTATGGCAAATTGTTATCAAATTAATACTGGTATTTTGCACATATGCCACATATTCCCTGTTAGGAATAATATATAATCTATTCTGTACTAGGAGAACAGTTGCCACTCCTACATACGGATATCGACAGATATTTGTGTTCCAAGCTGTTTCTACACCTAAGGTATATAGTCTTCTAGTTACAAAAGAGATCAATTACTCAAAGAGCTTCCAGAGTCTGCCAACTCAGCTAGAAAACAAGGAAGGCTGCTTGCATAGAATTGTCTCAAGGAAAGAAGTTTTTTCCAAGCATTGCAAAAGGTTGCAGTGTGCCTCAACTGCAGATACCAAGCTTAGCAGCTACAGTTGTCTCAATAACACATGAAGCCACAGAATACATTTAAGTACATTTGATTATTAATTCTCTGTCAAAAAAAATCCTGCTAACGATAATTTTCAATTTCAAGCAGTAACAGCCAACTTTTTTGCACTGCTGACCTGGCTGCAGTCACTCCCTTGCCCTGCTTTTCCCAATATTGCCTAATGCAAATTTAGCTTGTCAATATATTCCTTTTGCCTTGTAAAAGCTCTTTACTTTTTTTTTTTAAAAAAAAATACTATTGAAACAGTGATCACAGTGATGTAGTAACCAAAAGAGCCCTATAAGTTATTTTTTATATTAAACTAGATGTTTCTTTGATACTCTGATGCAACAAATTGTATTACAATGAGCATCACAAAACAAAGCATTCGAGTAGTTCCCATAATAGTTCATCATAATAAGCTTAGACCATGGCAATAATCTTGATGCTGCACGTGAAATCAGGTCTTTTTACATGTCAGCATTCACTGGCCTTAGTTTGGTGTTTACGCCAACAAAACTGCAGCTTGAATTTATGAGGCTCAGTCTCTAAAACATTCATTGAAGTGACTTGAGATTAATTTGCATCTTTAAAGACAGAGATCCATCACTTTTAATAGCCATAAACTCTGAATCTGTCTTTAATCTACTCCATGCTGAGCCCTATGAAAAGAGGGGCCGATCTCAATCTCATCCTATGAAAACATAATTGCCTAATCCACCCTCAGTGATGTTTTTCACTTCCCAAATTGCTCCCCTAAATTCTGCTAACTCAATAAGGGGCATTACTATAGAAATACAGGACTCTAAAACACAGCAGGCTCTCTGGATAAGTGTCCTTACACAATGTACCACTGCCAGAGCTCTTTGTGACTAATGGTTCCATTCTGTGTTGGTACAGATTAGAGACACAAAACACCCTACAGACACCTCCATTACAGCACACACATTATCATTAAGTTTGTAATTTAACAATGAAGAAAAATCACAGAACTGCCATTAAACTGGATGCAATAATGGTAAAATCTTTGCTTTCTTCTCTGAGCATCACGCTCTGTATGATCACTGTTTAAAGCTACTGTTGCAAGACAACAGGTTCTTTCCTGTGCTCTCAGGCTTTGCTAGGTGAGGCTCACAGGCATGAACATGGCTGAGTGGAAAAACTCTTAGAATCACAGAATCATAGAATGGTTTGGGTTGGAAGGGACCTCAAAGATCATCTAGTTCCAACCCCCCTGCCATGGGCAGGGACAGCCTCCACTACACCAGGTTGCCCAAAGCTTCTCCCAGCCTGGCCTTGAACACTTCCAGGGAGGGGGCATCTACAGCTTCTCTGGGCAACCTGTTCCAGTGCCTCTTCTATGGTAGTTTAACATAAAGACCATACAACTTCTCAGAAGAGTAAGAGTGCTGCACAAAAATCAGATCCACACCTCAGAAAGCAATCGCTGAAATTTTAGGCCAATTTTAGGTACACAGAACCGTGTACACTATCAGCTTCTTGGAGTTCATCTGTACAGCTGCAAACAGCTGATAAGCAAACGTCACAATGCAATGTGGCCCTGTGGGTCAGCCGCAGACCTTACACGTGAGGCCTCAGAGATGAAGTAGTCTCAGGAGGACACAGCTAAGAGACTGATGACTTAATACATTAAATTGCCATGTCTCACCTATCCCATGCCATTTGCCCTGAAGTTGAGTACAGTCTAATACTCTTACCTTTGCCCCTAGCACAGGGGAGCTTATAGCCACATCACCTACTGGAAGCAATCACGTGCCCACGGCACCCAACTAACAGCACTGAGACAGTGTTTGGGAGCAAGCTAGCTGATACGCACCAACAGTGAGCTAAGAGAGACCAACAAAAGCTCTCTTCTCCATGTAAGCAATGGGCCTGATTCAGAGGCATCAAAATAGTTTTATCCAGGAGCTTGGAATGAAGTCTCCCTAAGTCTCTAAAATGGAGTTGGATCAGAGTTCATTTAAATACACCTTGGCTTTGTGGATCAAGGTCATCATGTATGGAATTCCAGAAATGCACAGCTCCCTGAAAGCACCGTATTTGACACTTTCAATACATATTCTAACAATCATTAGCATCACCATTAACCTAAACCAGCCAAATAAGCTTTTGCCCACTGAGCTCCAAATACAAGAGCATTAACACCTAAATACTTTGAACTTAACTTCAGTGTCCAATTCACACCGAAGCAAACTGAATATGAAACAAAGCATCACGAAATGATAAGATCAACTTTAAAACAATGAGGTCAATTTTTTTCCTTGCTCTTTTTGTTCTTAACACCTTAGGGTGATGTTTTCAAGAGACAGTCCTTCAAATCATCTGACAGACTAGGGGAAATGAAATTTTTTTTGTTCTCATGATGTGTTAGGCCATCAAGGAGTTGTTTGCTCCTTGCTTCCACCCAGGAAGTACATTGGTGATAGGGTTGCTGGTGCGAGTGTTCCTACGGTCAGCTACAAGCAGGTTAGTTTAAACAGATCAAGGAAGATTTTTATAGCCTAACTTGTAACTGAAAAACAAAGTCCCGGGGAGCTGGTAACAGTGAATTGATTACAGTCATCTGTATTTGTCTTCAGGATATACCAACTGAACACTGGAAAGTTGTCTTAGCAGCAGCTGAATAAATTGCAAGTAAGCAAACAGCAGCACCTGATTAGTTCTAGGAACAGATGGGAGGCAGGGTTTAACAGGTCTCCTGATGAGCACCACGAAGGAGACTCTCGCTGATAACAGTAGCGTTTGCTCATACAGAGCCACAAACATGGTGAGGAGTAGATGGGATAAAACTACTCTATGCTTAGATTCTCTTTCAACAGGAAATAATACTGGAGGCCCTGAATTTCTTCTGTAAAGGTGGCAGACAAAGGCGATGCAGTGATCAAGACCATCACTTGTCTGAAAGAAAAAGCACTGCAGAGAGAAGGAACACAACTATGGTGCAAGTTTTGCTTGTCAAAACTGAGAAAGTGTGTAAATCATACCACATCTAAAGTACTATCCACTTGCTAAGCTTTCCTTAAAGAGCACAATTACCAAAATTCATTAGTCAACACCAGCTTTCTCCGCTTGAATGGGTGTTCATGTTTTGTTACAGTTTCAACTATTCAGATCTGTACCACTAACATAAAAGCATAACGAGAAGCCTGTTCAAGCTGCCTGACTGTAAGATTCTGATAAAGAGCTATATAGCAATACTATACTTGAAAAGGAATGAGTTAATGAAAACTTTTGTCTTTTACTGGGTAAAAAAAAAAAAAAAAATTAAAAAAAATAATCCTGTCCTTCAAATGGTAGAAGGGTGCTGTGGAACAGAAGACATTCTTGATGACAGCAATAAGCTACTTAGGGTAAGCTTATCATCCTCATCTTCTGCTCACTGTTTTGGAGGTAGGAGTATGCACTACAGACAAAGTGTGACTGAGTGCCCTTTGGAAGGTGAAACGGGAAGCAGAAAGTCAGAGCTCTCCTTTAAGCATTTGCCTTAAGATGTTGAGGCCCCTGGAGAGAACGAGTGGCACTTCTCCAAATATATGTGTGACTAGATCCAGGTATATGATTTTGCACAAGAAAGAGGGCCTTTATAGTGTTTCGATTTGCTTTCTGTCTCGGAGTCTGCAAAGACATAAGAGACTTCAGAAGAGTTCTCAGCTGTTTTAATGAAAATGCTAGCAAAGAATGCCTCACAATTTAAAGTTTTCGACAGGTGGCCATCACTTCCGTATTCCTTCCCTTTCCCCACCACGAGACTGCCTACTATTTGGTCTAACTTCTCTTGAATTTGAAATGGGTGGCAGAGACTATCACACAATGAGTTACAGCCCATAAGAGGTTATCCTTCATACCTAAGGCTTGCTGCTGTTCCTCCCCCCCAAGATCCTTCCTCAAAGAAGCATTCCCTAGCAAAGAACAGCAACCATCTGGAAATACATATATACTCCTGAAAAGCTAATAAAACTAGAACTGACTGGATTTCAACATTTAGAGCATAAAAATTATTGGAGTTTTGGAATAAATTATTTCCTAATATCATGCTGTATTTTTCACGAGTCACCAGACTCTACAACTAGGATTAACATGGCTCATCAAATCAACCAGACACACACACACAAACATGCGCAAAAAACATGGCACTTGGTTAAGACACACAAACAATGACGTCTACCAATCGGTTCTGCAACACAACCAAAGTTCCATTCTAAAAATTGTTTTTGAAAACATGCATTTATCTGGATTGAAATGGGACAGAACTACTCATTCTCAACAGAGGACAAAAAATCCCTCCCAAGTACTTTTCTGTAAAGCTCTTTGCACAAGTTACACAAGAAACATTCTTTCCTAAAGCTCAGTGCTTCAATCCCATAAATCCTCAGAACAGAGGCAGCAATTCAGCTACATTAATTTTTAAAAGCTTGATTGTTTATCATTTGTGCCGGTTGTAAACATCAAAAACATACACTGAAATAAAGCAATCTTTGAAAAGTAACTGAACATAAAAAGTCAATAAACAGACCATATGAAAAGCACCCATACCTCTTCAATAAAAATAATCAGAAATGGTAATAAAATAACTACTTGAAAGCTTCATGCAACACGTTCTTAGATATTCAAGAACTGCTACCAAAGAAGAAAGGAAAACAAAATAATGACAAAACGGCCTGATGCAAATCAAAGGTCACACGTGATTGCATGCACTATGGAGCGATGTATTCTTTCAATAGTTGTACCTCATTTACTAAAAACCTGACAGAAGCACCGCTTATATCGTTTGCTAAAGTAAGATTGTTTAGGTAAGCTCTCTTGTTTTAAAAAACAAGAAACATATATTCCTTCTCACAGGAAAAAATGTTCAACCATTTACTTTTCACATTTGAAGTCTTTTCACTCCCACTTAGATGAAGTACAGAAAATGACTTCAGAAGCTTGGTTTATGTGCAAAGTAATACATCAATATAGAACATTCTTTCTTGCTTTTCCTTTTTTTTTTTTTTTTTTTTCCTTTGAAACTGTACCTCTGTCTGGAGAATTTAGTAATGTTGCAGATGAGGAGGAGAGCCGCTTGTTAATGACTGGATCAACATGTTTCGAAAGGTTCATTGTTGAAACAGATCGCCTGTCTGGATCTAAAACAAATGGAGATAATGCTAATTGACAGCCCACATGCAGTAGTGCAAGTTCCTAGCTCGCTAGTGGGAGGAGGAAAACATGACTAGGTCACGCCTGCTCTACCACAAGAACTTTCAAAATAGAATGGACTTTTCAGCAGATGTTGTACAGGTGACTCAAAGACTGGGCACAAAACCATGTAATGTAAGTTTCAAATGTCAAAATATTCTGTTCACTGATTATCATTCAATCAGGTTGCAATCCAAGGACTTAATGGAGGATCTGAAGTAGATACTAGTAGACAAGATGATACTTCCTCGTTCCTTTCAATATTCTCAGAAAAACCTTGTTCATGACTTACAATAGAAAGTTTCAGGGAAGGACCAACATGCTTGGAAGTGTGAGGCTATTCATAAAAAAACACCCTTAGCATCTGAATAAAAGGTGACACTTGACAGGGCACTGCTACTAGGCAGATAGTCAGTGTCGTGACAATACAATGTTGAAAGATGAAGGGAAGACTAGTGCACAAGGGAAGCAAGGGTAAGCATAAAAGGAATTAAAAGATTTAGTTCAAAATTCCGTAGTTATGCATAAGTGCTAAACTTCCCAACACAGAGTCATTTTCTACCTGCTGTGAATGAAGATGTAGTTAGTCAATCCAAAACAGCACACAGTTTAGCAGACAGAGAAAATCAGTCTGTGGAAGGCTAGAGACTACTTGAAAAAACTGAACACACCAGCTATATGTTTTCTGTTCTCTCTCAAATAATAATAATAAAAAAATTCCACTGTGCATCAACTACATGTCCTCCATTGCAAATTTCTATTTGGAAATCTGACATTTGGAAGGCACCGGGAGAGTCAACTCTGCTGCTGTTCACATTTTAGCATGTACTGAACTCCAGCACTACTCAGCAAAGCATTCAACCATGCTGAAATGCAATGAGGCTTGAGCATATGGCTAAATGTTCTGCTGATTCTTATTCTGTGTATGCAAAAATACGTCCACGTGCTGTTTTGGAAGCAGACACAAACTCAAGACACAGACAACATTCAGGAGGATGTTGCTGAAATATTATCTGCAATTGTCTATTTATGACAAGTACATCAACATTGTATTTACCTGTTTTGACCTACTGGATTTAAGTATACTCACTGTGTACAAACATTTTCATGCAAATACAGTGCATGAAAAATACCTTTACTCTCCCCAGATCTCTGAACTATCTAGGATTCACTACAACTGGTTGCGGTGAAGAAAGAGTCTCCCCTACCCTATGTGATTATTTGCTCACTTTGTCCAACGTTAGAATGACTCAGTGAGGGTACAGAACCAGCAAACTGCGTATTGGATGGGGGAGAAAACTCAGAAATGGGTTTTAAAAGGAAAAATCTAAATGTTATAGCTAAGAACAAGACCTCTGTAGGCTGGCAAGATTATCCTACATTGATCTGTGGGGTACATTGAAGGAGCGCTGTGTGCAGTTCAGTACTAGAGACAGGATACTCAGGCTTCATGTGCCATGGATCCTTGCCAGAACAGTGTTTGCGGGAACGGGCAACATGAAAAATCACCTCTTATATTTGGCGTGCCAACATTTCTCTTGTGTCTATGAACTTTATTTAAATGAATGAAATTCAGCATGAGTGTGTAAGTGTTGGCAATATGACTCCTAAAAACACAGAACAGGCCAAATGTGATCCATTGCCTAGAAGATAGCTGGTTTCTTTGTTCTAAAACAAAAAAAAGAACTAAAATATCCACGAGCAACACACCAGCCAGTGCAGCTGGCTACATGTCTGTGCTCATGTGCAAAATAATTGTAAATCCTGTGTATATGTAGCATGCCAAAAGGGTTTTGGAAAAGACAAAAATATTCAAATTGGGTCTCCTTGAATTCCAGTAGACAGAACATTATGCTTCATTTCAGTGAATTGTGCCAAATCTTTAGAGTCAGCCAGTAATAACTCTCCATAGTAAAAATAAATAGTAATGAAAAAATCTGGTACTAAAAACAGTTCTAATCTATCAGCATGATGTTAAGCATGCATTGCAACTACATGAGGGTGGTTTAGTTACTGATGATCTCACTTCCTGAGAACTAGCTATGGGTAAAGGAATCAACAAACCACAGCAATTATGTACCAGGTTTTCTAGCACCACCCAGAGATCTGAAGTGGTGCTCCAGGCCTGCTAAATCGAGAAAGGTGAATGATGATTCAAATAAATAACCTAGGGACAGAATGCAAGACAGTGATTTTTCACAGTAAAGAAAATAAAAATCAAATAAGTTATACAGAGTTAAGCAAAAAAGTAACCTTTTATGAAAAATAACTGTTTATTGAACTTATATATGACAAAGAATTCAGAGCGTTCTTTCCTCAACTCTTTTCCCCCCGTGATGAAAGGTTGGACACGTTGAAACATATACATTAGAGTAGGAAGAGAAGAATTCTAAGTACCACTTTCTGGTGAAAGAAATACAGGACAAGTTTTCTTTTTTGGATTCAAGTCATATTTAACAGGGCATATACACATTAATGATTGGCAGATTAAGTTAGAGAAGATAATTGGGGGGAAAAAAGCATGTAGCTAAAATTCACCTAAACTTAATTTGCCCATCTTTAAGTTTTCTAGGGGGGAAAAAGGGACTTCTATCTCCCAAAATATCTGTACAAGATATAGCTAGCTTATTACAAAGAACAATTTTTTTTCCTTGTGTCTGTTTTAATCTCAGTATTTGGTCATTTCCGTCAGACTTATTTTTTGAGCCCTGATATTTAGCGTTTGCACAGAGCAGCTCATATCACAAGACTGACACAGCACAAGCACACCCACACGTACACACACAAACAGCAGCAAAGCAGCAGAAGCGAGAAGCTGGAGCAAAATAGAGTCACAGAATCAGTCAACTCCCGAAATAAGTTTTAACTTCCGTTCAGATTTCTCCTTGTTATCTTTTTGCTACACCAGAATGCCAGAAACATGCCATTGCTAGCAATAATAAGATCAAGAGCAAAGAATTTAAACCAGCATACACTGACTCATCCTTCCTTTTAACAGAAGCAAAGTAAATTCCAGTTAACTGTCAGGGCAGGGAACTGGCTGGCAAATCAAGCCTCCCTCTTTACCTGTGTTATTAATGCGGCTATGTAGTGCTCCTCCCCAGGACCACCTGTTTTGCTTTTGTTTTGGCTTCTGGCTTCTTTCAATTGTGCGACGTACAACAGCTTCATGTCGTTCCTTAAGTACAACAGGATAATACATTTGGATACTATTGGGTTTTGAATTTCATCTTCTCATCAAACCCTGCTACCCTCCACACGGACAAAAGCTAAGCATCTTGGAGTTGCCTTCAGGCTTGTGTGCTGCCTACTAAAACACACACTCAGATGAACCATCGTAACCTCTAGAATAGGATTAAGCAGTAATTAAGCCATAAATAAGTTAAAATATTAACTGTAATTTTGAAAAGGTAAGATGTTTGAGAGCTGCAGAACTGCAGAGGAAAAACAGTGGCCCTGTTATGGCAGGCACTACACAAAAAACCCTAGGGCTACTTCCCACCTTCTATCTCCCACCTACTAAATACTAGAACCATGGGAGAGGAAACAAAAAACCCCACAAGGATGAGCTGACTTACGTAGGATCACATTGCTTGTAGTTCCCAGCTTAACTGAGACAAATCAGCCAAAAGCATATCTCCTTACACACTCACTTTCTTAAAGGTTTTGTTAGGCAACTAATATTAGCTACTCTCATACTGAATGGCTAAGAATTAAGAGAACCACACAAAACCGACCCAATTTGTATTTTTCTGCATGAGTTTGTGCAGTGCGATATACTTCAACCCAGACACGCTCAACTTAGCTGCGTTTGATTCATAAAGGGCACTTTAAGAAGCAGTATCTGTGCAAGTAAGGCTTAAAATCCTCTTTTGCACGTTCTCTCACACTGACCACGGCTTACGTTGCATCCTTTCCATCGACTCCTCAAGAAAAAGTTTGATAGTATCGTATCTTACGGTAAAAGCAAGTTGAAAAGTGTTTTCATGACATTTATTCTTACCTTATCTTCTTCTATTCTCTGCCTTCGCTTTTCCTCTACGGCAGCTCGCCTTCTCTCTTCCTTTAATCTCTGCTCCTCTAGCTTCTTTCTGCGTTCCTCTAGGTGTTTTTCATAATGTTGCCGGGCTCTCTCTTCTCTTTCTAACCAGACGGATTCTCTTGCAGCTGTGAGAAAAATCAGAAATAAAAGTATTAACATGCTGTGTGTGAGGAAGTCTTTAATACAGTTTAAATAACCAACCTAAATGGAAAAACTTTTGAACATATTTTCTCAAGGAGACATACATAGTATCCTAATCTCTCCTCGTATTAAAACATCATGTACCCTGGTCACACATTAATTTCATTTCATCTCAATTTACTCACTATGAATTACCACCAGAAATAATTAAATTATTTAAGAATATAGTTTCTATGGGGAAGAAAGTATTTTTTTGTTAGTTTAAAATACCTAAATACTTCAGTCAGATGTATGTGAACACACTTCCGTTGTGCAAACCATGACAATTCTCTGTAATCTTTTACTGTAAAAAGAAAGGTAATAAAAAGAAAGATAAAACTATTACCAGTATATATCTTTAGTGATCAATACATGTCTCTTACGGTAGAAGTGGCTGGGATGACAATTCTAGCAGCTGGACCGTTAGCCATACCAACAGCTGACCAGGTGGAAACAAGGTACCCACCAAAGAAGCCAGTGTAAAGGTGAACTTTTTAATCTGTCATACAACTTCACTGCTGCAGAGCTCTGAACAACATGTTTCAGAAGTGCTAATCGAGACAAATCAAGAAGCACTAAACGAGACAAATTTTGCTCCCCATCAGGGTCTGAATTTTCATGAAGGTACTATCCAGAACACAAGCTCAAACTGTAGTCCACATGAAACCATTTACATATGACACTCTGGACCTCTTCCCATTGCTGTCTTGGAAAAAGTTCAGGTCCCTGAAATTTTTGTGTTTTAAAAAAAACTGTTACTTGCTTTTTAAAAATCCTGGACATTCGATACCTCTGGATCCTCATGAACTGACAGATGGAGGAAGAGATGCATGTGAAGGTCACGAGACAAACATCACTGAGAAACACATTAGAAAACTACACATAGAAGGAGCCCATTGATAACACTACGGCAACGAAACCAGGACAGCAGAGTCAAAAAGACTTTCTGTTTCCAAGGCCAGCAATATAAGGAAGTTTTCTACTTCAGTCTGAGACAGGATTTTTAAAATTCAATCAGGTGTGTGGGGGAATTAAAAAAAAAAAATAAAAAAAAAAGAAAAAAGAGAGCCTACTGTTATAATCATATACTCTAGAACAGCAAATCCAGCCTTCAATTAGAAGAGATATTTGTGGTGTTTGACACACTCACATAACAAAACAAAAAACCACAAATGCTTCCAAGGTGTTCAGAGTAGACATTGCAATGACTTCTTATAACACTAGGACTCATCTTCACCAAACTGCATTTCGGCACTTTCCTGCCTACTCAAATCCCATCTCACCTAATAAGGAACTTTGATTGCACTCTAGACCTTAAGTATTTGTATATGCAGACTCATGAAAAATCTCTACCTTGAGTAGACTAGTTCATATATAAAGTATTTTCCCTAAGAAAACAACTCTCTACCATTTCAGATGTCAAATACTTTGCCGAGAAAAGCAGACAGCATGTTTAGCTTTGCTGTGGTATACAAAGGAGTAGCTACAAGCAACCATATGACACCCTCTTGGCAAGATGAGGGAAAGCTCCTGCTTACAGGAAATTTAACAACCATACCTAGAATTATTACAACAAGAAGGAATAGTACAGTTGCTTAAATAATTACTAAGAATAGATTTGAGAAGTGACACCTACAAATGTGAAATACTAATGGAAGAGCCACCAGAAGATCTACAGAAATACTTTTCTATGCTAATTTAGTTAAGTGACTCAGAGGAGAAATGCAAACTGCACACTAAGGCAGAATACAGCAGAAAAGCAGCTTCCAGGCCAATCCTAATCTGCAAAGGCTTCTTCTTCTATAATAAAGCCATGTAACACAACAAAATGGAGACAAAATTGGTGTTCCAACCACAAGACTAATTTGTAAACCAGAAACACGCCTCTGCTGGCCCTTCTGAGGACCAATAGCTCACCAAGAGAATGGATGGACAGAGACATGTCTCTCACTATGGTCCACCCTTTTCCTCAGAGTACAAGACACCTCATGATGCTGTCTTTCTATTGCCCGGGTCCAAAAAAGACTGATCAAAGAGCTCAGTCTGAGGGCTCAACAATTCAGGTTACATCCTGAACACCTGAAGTGTAGGGCATGTCACCTCTGAGGTACTGTCCCCTTTTTTTGCCTTTGCCTTGTGTTTAACAGTCCAGCTTTGCTAACCAATGCCTTGGGCAGAGGCACTGTCAGCCTGTTACTAAAAAGGTAACGATTTTTGCAAAATCTTTCTCTTCCTATTAGCTTCTGCACAGCTGGATTGCAGAATAGGGTCAGTCCAAGTGTGGGCAGCCACCTCACTTACTCTACGTGTGCTTATCTTGTTTTCTCCAGCAGATGAGGATAACATTCTCTAAAAGCAGCAACCCATAATCTTCAAATTCTACACTGTAAACATTTCATGCTAACTCCTTTTTTTTTTCTCCACAATCTTTGTTGAACATTTCAGAGAAAGTTAACACTTACTAATACAGAATAGGACCACTTTAGATCTCCCTATTCGACACACACATATTTTAAAATTGTACTAACTTTTACTCATTTTGGTGAGGTTTCATGACCATTTTAACCGAAGTGCTGGCCCACATGAAGAGGAGCAGCGTTTGCTCTCCTCTAGGCCCTGAGTTTGTACCCCTCCTCCTCATGCTGACAGTGTTGCTCACAGGACTGACACCAGTTGGATAAAGCCAGGTTGCTTCCATGCCTTTTATTCTTCCAACACTTAGCTGCAGCTGGTCCTACTGGAGACTGGTCAGCCTGGACAGACGGGTAAGCAGACATGCTGCTGAGAGGGTTTAGGGGGTTCTGAAACCAGAGGAAGCCTCGGGGCAGAAATGGGACTGCTGGGCAGTGCAGCACAGTCTGCCTGAGCAATCTGGAAGTGAGACAGGTGCTGGATGGTTTGCTGAATTCAACAGCAGGTCAATGCAATACATGCAGAGAAGCTGATTTTACCTCGTTGATGCCAGACTATGACACCAGACTCATTCAAATCCAACCTACACCGAAAAAGAAGGTTACAGAATGTGGCTTCTCTGTCTTTCACAGATGTATGCTGCCCAGGGAGGTGGTTAAAGCCCCATCCCTGAACGTGTTTAAGAAAAGGGTGGATGAACTACTTAGGGATATGGTTTAATGGGGGATTAGGGACGGTTGGACTGGATGATCTCTAAGGTCTTTTCCAACCTAGAAATCTATGAAATCTATGAAAGACTGCCTCAAGCTCTCAGTCATTGCCTAATTCCACTCCCATTAATTCAAATGTTTTTGTCTCATCTCCAAAGCCCTCTGCAGCTCTGTTTTGAGCAGTATCACCTTCCTGTTTCTCTCATAAGTAATACTCTAGCTTAGGATATATTTTATCCAAAAATTAATTCTTTCTGCTTCATCAACAGAGCCAATTACTTTATACTGAAGTGTATTTATATACACACGCACTATATATATACACACTAAATGCTATATATCTGAAGACAGAAGATTCAGAAAAGGCTTAGTAAGGGTGGGAAATCATCCCTATTAGGCTACAAAAGGAAGGAAAGACACTCAGAGCCTGAGTTTATGGGCCTGAACAGGTAAAATATTTTACTTCATAAAACCAGATTTGAACAGAACTTAACTAATAATACACTGTGAACAACACAATACTTTTAATAATTTTTCCTATTTCAACACTAGGTTTTAATCTTCCTCTATTTCCTCAAATAATTGTTCATTAGTGTTAGCCTGCAGTACCATTAAATAACTGTTAAATGCCAGTCCTGGAGGATGTGGTATTACTCTCTCCTCCAGTTCTTTCTGTATAATTAACTCCTGTGAAATATCTCGCTTCCTACTTGAGTCTATTGTTACATTTCATTTCTCATACAGAAATGTTTAGAGGGTTTGTTTCAGTTCTGCAGACAGCATTACACAGATGCATATAGATGCAGAGCTTGTAATAGTTAAACTTTAGAAGAGTATATGATTTTATGGACTTATTTTATTCTAACATGCACAAACTAAAACAATTAGTCTTGATTTCTAGTCTTTATTACTTGTCTATCTGTAGATGTCATCAAAATGGATCTTGGGGGAGGGAGGAGAATCATTCGCTATCCTCCTCTTAAAAGGACATCTGGAGTCTATTTCATTTATTGCATGCAAAATTTGTATAAATTTATCTTTGTTATAAGCTTTAGCTTCCCTAGTTAACCATTCAAGAGTGGAACTAGACTGCTCTCTTACGCAACATCGTATGTTTGTAATCTAAGTTAGACTCACCTTCACATAGGAAATGCTCTAGACTCTTACAGCATCCTGTCACCATGATGCTATACAAATGAATTGAAAAAAAAAAAAAAATAACAGTGCACACACCCTATTACATAGACCCTGAACACACTAAGTAACCCCAACAATGCAGTTGGTCAAAACTGGAATTCAACCAAACCATTTCGCAGAAGTTTTGAAACATCCATTCTCTTTGAAAAAGCCAAGAGCACCTAAGAAGCTTAGTAGCATTTACCTCATGAAAGTCCATCTAGCTGCAGTATGTTGGCTTCTACTCAACAGTCACTTCCATATAGACTCTAATAATCATATCAAGACAAAAGACACCCACAGATTGTGAGATCAACTGGATCTTTTGTGCCTGGAATCTCCTCACAATGAGAATCCAGCACGAAAAGGCTCTTTGGTTCTCTGCTGAAAATAAAGCACTTCCTGAAGGATATGAGAAATTAAGAAAAGTAAAGAATAAAATAAAAAACCCACAACTTTTTTAGCTGATGTCACTGGAATATTAATTTGTCCATAAAAGACATGGAGATTGTTTGTGAGACCTTCTTGGGGCATTATTTGTGGCGATTTCTACAGGCTTCAGCCTGCCATGTTGTTTAGAAAAAGTAATGAAAACAGTATATTTGAACTTCCAAGACTAAATTCAGGCAGAGAAAGGCTGAAAACAT